GAGCTACGGTTGATGCAACCTGGTGGCTTGTTCTGGACTGGAATCTGCTTGTAGATGCAGAGGCTCAAAGTTTCCAAGTTGAACAGAGGATGCCTCAGCAAAAAGGACATGCTTGTTCCCACAGAATCCTGGTTTGATAGGGAAGAGCAAACCAGAAATTGGGCATCAACAGAGTGACATTAAGGCACAAGGTATGAAGTAGCTGCTTTATACTTTCACAAATGTAGTTATTTGTAAGATGATTCTAAGGGGTGAAATCCCAACAATGTATATGCACAAAATATAGTGTAAATGAAAGTTTGTATAAAAAACAATGTACATGCATGAAACATGTGTATATGAATGACAAAATATTCATTAAAAATGTAAAAAAAGTGTTTTTCATTTTGTTCCACATTTTCCTCCCTTTCCAGCTATAGTCTATGGAGGAAGTATTGAAGTTGTGGATGATTTCATTTTGCGTGAATCTGCATTCAACTCCCTAGGTGTTTGTTGTTCTTGGTCTTGTTTGTGCCACTGAATTGACTATGACTCATAGCTACCCAATGAACAACGTTATTCCATCCTTCACCATCCTCAGTATCTGATATGCTTATGATGGCTGTTGTTGTCGTGTATAGTCAAGTTGGCTATGACTCAGAGTGACCCTATGAACATCGGATCTAAACCCTACCCTACCCTGTACCATCCCAATCATCTCTGATACACTTGAGCCCATTGCTGCCATCACTGGGTCAATCCATCCCATTGATGGTCCTCCTCTCTTTCGCTGACCCTCCATCTTTCCAAGCATGAGGTCTGTTTTTACAGAATAGCTTCTCCTAGTACATGCCAAAGTATGTGAGATGAAACTTTGCCATCCTTATTTCCAAGAAGCACTCCAGCTGAAAGTTTTCCCAAGACATGTCTGTTTGTTCTTTTGGCCATCCAGGGAATATTCAGTGTTCTTCTCCAACATGGCAACTCAAAGACATCAACTCTTCTCCTGCCGTCCTTATTCATTGTCCAGCTCTCAGATGCATAGTAAGTGACTGAATCACACCCACCTTATTCTTTGAACGGTTCCTTACCTCTCTGGAGATGTCCTTGACTGTAGATTTCCCCAATGCTGCATGGCTTCTGGTTTGTTTGTTTGTTTAATTGTGATTTTAAAGAAATTTTACAGAAAAGTTGGATTGTTTTTCATTCATTTATTGATGCACACTTTCCTGCCTATCCTTCCCCCTTCCCTAGTTCACTTTAAAAAAAATCGTTCTTTGTTGTGTAATTTCCTTCCTCCCTTCCACAACTCTTCCCCAGTCAACTTTGCTATGCACCTCTTATTCTGGACTGCTGTCCTACAAACAATGCACAATCAAACATTCCTTTTAAATAGTTCTTTCCTTCATCTGTTCCAATTCATTGTTCAATATTTATCCCCTCTTTTCTTAGTTTTCCTCAACCCCCATGTTTGTCCTGTTTTATAACAGTGGCGTAATGCAGCTATATGCACACCTATTTTTATTGCTGTGTTATTCACCATAGCAAAAAGATGGAAGCAATCCAAGTACCCATCAACAAATGAGTGTACAGAAAAATTATGGTATATTAACACATTGCCACACACTTTTAAATTGAGACCGTGCTTAGAAACACACTTTTCCCCCCAGTGTATTAAAGTCATTTAAAGAAACATGTTAACACACTGGAATACTACACAACACTGAAAAACAAGGAACTCATAAAACATTACACAACATGGATGACCCTGGAGGAATTACTGAGTGAAATATCCCTGTCAAAAAAGGTCTTCTGATTTCTTGAATGTAGGTTCCAAGGAAGTTCACTGCAGGTTCCAAAGCAACATGAAATTGTTGACAGCTTCAATCTTTTCTTCATTTATCATGTTATTGCCTTAAAATATAATTAAGATAAATCAAACTGAAGAAAGTATGTAGTAAGAGAAAGATACCTAAGATTTCAAAAAACAACTCAAGAAGACAAAGTAAAGTGTTATAACAAAATGTGCAAAGACAATGTGTTAGAAAATCAAAAGAGAAGAACAAGCCCAGGAGATCTCATGACGCTGAAAGAACTTAAGGAAACAATTTCAATCTTGAGCAGCAATATTGAACGATTCCATGGGAAAAAATCCTAAATGATGCAGAAAACAGAAGTGATTATCCAGAATCATTACACCAAAAAAGAATGGTGTGGTGTTCACCCATTTCAGTATCTAACATATGACCAAGATTCAATAATACTGAAATAAAATGTAAAAACTGCACTAAAGGTATTGACAAAGAAATGAGAGGAAGACCCTCGAAGAGACGGGTTGATTCCGTGACTAGGGCAATGAGGGTAGATGTGTCAGACAATAGGGTTGGCTCAGGATAGAGCAGGGTTCAGGGCTGTTGTACATAGGGTCACTAGGAGTTGCAAGTGACTCCACAGCACAGAACAAGAACAACAATACCAATTGAGTCTTTCAACACAGTGGAGGCACTAGCTTGCCTTTGCCAGAATTTCAAAGAGGGGAAGAAATCTATATCTAGGTCCATTCCAAAGAATGGTGATTCAACAGGGTGTGGAAAATGTCAAGTAAGATCATAACATCACACACCAGTAAAATTTTTCTAAAGATTATTTAAAAGCAGTTGCAGGGGTACCTCATTAGGGAACGAGAAGAGGGTCAAGCCAGATGCTTTGTAGTGTGAAGAATAAGGAATATCACTATTACTATCAGATGAATTTTGCCTGAAAGCAGAGAATACAGAAGGATTTTGACCTATTTTTTATTGACTATACAAGGACATTGAACTGTGAAGTTTCTAACAGACTATGGATGGCATGGTGAAGAATAGGGATTCCGGAGCAATTAGTTGAGCTCATTGGTATCATGGAAAGGCTATTGAACAGTCCGTGGAGTGAAAACAAGCAAACCTGCCTTGAACAAAACCTATCAAAGGGGGAAATATCAATCCCCTCAACAAATGGTGCTGGCAAAACTAGACTTCCACCTGCAGAAAGCCGAAACAGGATTCACATCTCACAACATACACAAAAATTCACCTCAAGGTGAATACAAACTTGGAAGTAAACCCAAAATCATTAAGTTCATAAGAGATAAACTAGGAAGAAAGAAAAAAAGAGGGATAAACTAGGATCTAGCTTAGAAGCCCTAGTCCACAGTATGAAGAGACTGCTCAACACAGCCAAAAATGTACAATCTGAAAAGGATAAAACTGATGAAGCTTCTAATGATTTAATCCCTGTGCTTATCAAAAACTTTTTCAACAGAGTGAAAAGAAAACCTACTGACTGGGAACAAACACTTGGCGATACCATCTCAAAATAAAGTCTCATAACGAAATTTTATAGAGTATCCCTGGGCCTCCACAAGAAAAAGACTGATAACCCAATTACAGAATGGACAAAAGAAAGGGAAAGACTTTTCAGAGAGGAAGATATTCATATGGCCAACAGACATATGAAGAAATGCTCCAAATCACTGGCAATAACAGAGATGCAAATCAAAACCACAATGAGATATCATCTCACTCTAGTAACAATGGCAAAGTTTAACAGGACAAAAAATAATAAATGGTGGTGATATATGGTAAGATACGAACTCTTTTACATTGTTGGTGGGATTGTACAATGGTAAAACCACTCTGGAAAGCAGTTTGGCACGTCCTCAAAAAGCTGAACATACAATTTCCATATGACCCGACTATTCCATTGCTTGTAATATACCCCTAGAAAATAATAATTGAGGCTCAAACAGAAACTTGCACGCCGATGTTCATAGCAGCATTATTCACTATTGAAGAACATGAAAACATCCCAGATGTCCAACCACAAACGAATGGATTGAGAAGTTGTACATTCATACAATGGAATACTACACAGCACACAGGAGCAATCATTCTGTAAATTACTACCCAACTCAGGAGGGTCTGCAGAGCATGAAGATGTGTGAACTAGCTCAGTCCCATAAGGACAAATAGTATACAAAATCATTATTGTAGAATGAGTATGCAGATTCAAGGTAAAGAGAAGGTGGAAATAAAGGGGTGAGGATGGGGGGTTATGGTGTTTATCACGGGGTTGCACAATTCAATGGGTGGGAAGGGTGAGGGAAATGGGAAGGATCTTTTGTGAAAAACAATGTATTCAAACTTTGTAAATAAATAAAAATAAAATAAGATATTTTTAAAATAAAATAAAAATAAAACAAACAAAAAACAACCACCTACCTTAAAAGAAATGCAAACAGTGTGAGCACTCCTTGGAAGAAAGTGTGGAGAAATTTCATCTCACTTACCTTGGGCATATTTTCAGGGGGAACCAGTCCTTTAAGAAAGATATTGTGGAGAGATAGGTGGAGAGTCAGCAAAAGAGAGGAAGCCCCTCGGTAAGGCAGATGACAGTGCCTGTCACTGATATGCTCAAGTGTGTTAGAGACGGTGAGGATGGCACAGGATGGGCACGGCCCAAATCCCAGTTGTTCACAGGGTCACTATGAGTTGCAGCCGATTTAACAGTACCTAACAACAGTAAGAGTACAGAGTTGGACAATTTTAATTCTAATTCTAGGAACGTGTGATGTTAGACAGGTCTCTTGTATATGGAATAAAAGGATTTTATAAAGTGGCTTGTGTGATGCAATGGTTTAGTGCTTGGCTGCTTCCAAAGAACAATGAATATATCACAGGCTGTAAAAGTAACTAAAATGTCTGTCTTGAAAGAAGTATAGCCAGAAAACATCTGCCTGACGAAGGCAGAGTCCAGGTTGAGCAAAGCGAGACTGGGACTGTTACAATGACGAATGCCCCAAGCCCTCAGTGAGAATGGCAGGGCTGGGAGCCAGGCCTTGTGACCTGCCACCTGTCTGTGTGGGCGGGACCAGCAAGACTCACGGGGTACAAATAGCCCAGGCCTCTGCAGGCTCCTGAGAAGCAGCACCTCTGCATTCTCCTCTTTGTGGAAGCTGAAAGAGCAGAGCAAAAGGAAGCAGCATGAGGCTGTCCATCTCTCTCCTGCTGGTCACCCTGGCCCTTTGCAGCTACCAAGGTGAGTGTCACTCCCACTCGGTCTAGCAATGGCCCCTGATCTGTACTCTTTGCTCCTCTGAGTAAACTTCTCTTTTGGACTGGGGGACAGATCTAAATAGAAATCTTTCCCTTGAACTAGCCCAACAAAAGCCCATCTTATTTTAGAAATATCCCAACACTGAGGATCCTTTACAGAAAAATTACCACAGGTAAATTTTAAAGCACTCCTCCTCGTGCAACCTCTTTCTTTAGTTATAATCTGTGTCTAGGAAGCAGAATAATGGAGTGAAGGTGAGTTGGCTAAAATCCTAGATCGTGTACTTACCAAGACTTAGACCTGAACCAAAACACATCGTCCAGCCTGCCTCTTTTTGAGAGATTACAGGTTTTGATGCTCCCACCAACAGTGGCTTTGAGAATGGCAAGAGATTCAGTCAATAAAGAGTTTGATGGTAGCTACCACACTCTCCCTAAAGTCATCAGACGTTCTTTTGCCCTGGGGACCTGAGGTCGCCAGGTGAACCCACAGCTTTTGAATGCATCACTTCAAAGACTGTTCACCAACTGTTCCACCTGGAGGACTCTGGCGAGGTTTCCCTGGAAGAAAAGCCAGTGTCCTCTGGAAAACAACCCTTCAATTAAGAAACCTTTCAAGCAGTGCTCAACAGAGTTACACATTTTCTGGGAATACTGCTACTGATATCAGTATAAGTGGTAGCATTATTATGCCTATAATGCTAATGATTCTAAAATGAATTCTGGGTGTTCACAGAACAAGTATTTTGGCATGCCTCCCACATCCTCAATCCTGACTCAGGTCTACTTTGAGTCTACCTGTTCTGTCAGTGGCTTTCTGAACCTCCTCTTTCCTTTTGTTAACTCTCATCTTACTTCTAAGATATTACATCTAGTTGGACTGACTTAGTCTGCTCAGAGATCAGTTGGGGCCTGGAAATCCAAACATGGGAAAATTTAGGTGATGAATCTAGGATTCACCAACGTTCCCAGTGAGATCAAGAATGGACATCTCGATTCCTCCCCTCACCCCTCAAGGGATTTTTCCTAATCACTACAGAGTTAAAGTCAATGAAAAAGTTCTGTGTCAATTTCAGATGTATAAAACTGAGTAGTAATTATTTCAGTTCTGTCTTCATTCATTTGAAGGAGATCTAAGACAGTGTGGTATTTGTATAAGTGACAGACACATAAAGGACCAGAAATCAGCTCATCTATCTATGGTCAACTGATTTTTGACAAGGAAATGAAATCAGGTAACTGGGGAAATGAAAGTCTCTTTAATAAATTGTGCTGGCAAAATTGGAAAACTCTCTGCAGAAACTCAAGGAAGACCCACTCCTCACACCATACAAACAAACCAACTTAAAGTGGATCAAGGACCTAGGACTAAAACCAAGGATCATAAACTTCATCAGAGAAAACCTTGGAAGAACTCTAGAAGCCCAAATCCACAACATGAACAGTCTTCAGAATCCTGAAAAACTGACAACCAAAAGGGAATAAAAGAGATGAATGGGACTGTGAAAGAATAAATTCTCTATACACCTCAAAATTTCCCCAAAAGTGTAAAAAGGAAAGCCACAGACTGGGGAAAATTATTTGGTAATGTCATGTCTGGTAAGGGACTTATATCTAGAATTTATAGAATACTCTAGAACTTCAACAAGATAACAGTAAACTACCCAATTGCAAAATGGGCACAGGATAAGAAGAGACACTTCACCAAAGAATACATTCAGACACATGAAGAAATGTTCAAAATCCCTAGCTCTAAGAGAGATGCAAATCAAAACAACTATGAGATATCATCTCACCCCAGTCAGAATAGCAAAATTTAACAGAACAGCAAGCAACAAATGCCAGTGAGGTTGTGGAGAAACTGGAACTCTTATTCACTGTTGGTGGGAGTATAAAATGGTGCAACCACTGTGGAAGGCGGTATGGCACTTTCTCAAAAGTTGCAAATAGAGATACCATTTGACCCAGCAATTCCACTACTGGGAATATATCCCAAAGAGGCCATAACTGACATCCAAGCAGACATATGCACACCCATGTTTATTGCGGCTTTGTTCACAATAGCAAGGAGTTGGAAACAACCCAGGTGCCCATCAACAAACGAATGGATAGAGAAGCTGTGGTATATTCACACAATGGAATACTACGCTGCATTGAAAAACAAGGAACTCATGCAATATTATTCAAAATGGGTGACCCTGGAGCACATTAAGCTGAGCAAAATATCTCAGTTGCAAAAGGACAAATACTGCATGGTGTCACTGCTGTAAAATGGGACTGATATCAGGGTTGGGGTAAGACTGAGAAAAACTGCATAAATTGCATATACTGCATTGAAACAGATGAGGGAAAGAATAATTTAAAAGCGATGTATGATAGGGTATTATGTGGACAAGAGTCCACAACTAAGGTTGCATAGTGGAGTGTACTTGGGGTGGTGGGAGGGGTGCGGGGGGGGGTTGCATATCAAAGAAAGAATTTTCCTTTTCAAAGAGAGGAACGAACTGGGGTGGGGGAGCAGAGGGAGGGCTGGGCAGGGAGAAAAGTGCAACAATGAATGAATGGAAATCCAAAGTCTCTGTAAATGTTCATTAAAATTATTCAAATAATAATAATAAAAGAAAATTTTAAAAAGCCAAACAGGACTAACATTGGGGTTGGGGAAAACTAAGAAAAGATGGGATAAGTCATGAACCATGAACACTGTGTTGGAACAGATGAGGGAAAGAATTGTTTAATAGGAATGTATGATCAGGTATTATTTGCTTGACAATAGTCCAGAACAAGAGGTGCATAGCAAAGAGGACTGGGAAGAGGGCAGAAAATTGTGTAACAATGAATGAATTTTTAACGAAAAAAGAAAACAGGGAGGGAGGAAAATGTGCAACAGTGAAAGAATGGCAATCCAAGTTCTTTGTAAACTTTCAATAAGATCACAATAAAAATGATAAAACAAAAAGAAAGAATGGAGAACTGATGGTATGGTAGTCAGAGCATCCATTGGTAACCAAAAGATTGATTGCTGGAACCCACCACCTGCTTCATGGGAGATGCGTGAGACACTTGCCTCATTAAAGACATGCAGTAGAAAAACCTCTGGCAATTCTGTTATATTGCCACCATGAGTCACAAAGGAGTCAATTGCAGTGGGTTTGGTGGTTGTCATTTGGTGACACAGTCCTATTAATTCTTAACACACAAAGTATCTCCTTCCAACATTTTTTATTATTATTAATTTCAATGAACATTTACAGAGATTGTGGATTTCCATTCATTGTTGCACTTTTCTCCCTGCCCACCCCACCCCCACCCCCAGTTCGCTCTTCTTTAAAAGCACAAGAAAAACTCCTTCACTGATATACAATCCCCCACACTCTTCCACCCTCACCCCGAGAATACTCCAATCTGCAATCCTTATTCCAAACTCTTAGGATAATCATAATGCCCTAAAATATATTATTTTTAAACTGTTCTCTCCCTCATCGGCTTCAATGCAGTGTACATAATTTATCCATTTTTTTTCTCAGACTTACCCCCACCCTGATGGCAGCCCCATTCTACAACAGTGGCACCATGCAGTATTTGTCCTTTTGTGACTGAGGTATTTCACTCAGCCCTCCAACATTTTAATGAATGTAGATTGTTTTTCATTCAATTGACTTTTCCTTTTACAAAGGTGCCTTGTAACACACTGCTCAATGGCTCACTGTTAATCAAGGCTTCAGTGGTTTGAACGATTCTTCTACTTCATGGGAAGAAGATGTGCCATCTGTTTCCACAAAAATATTTAGCCTTGACAACCCTATGGTGCAGCTTGACTCCGTCCTCAGGGGTCAGAATTAAGACAATGCTAGTGGTTCGTTCAGATTTCATTTTACATAGTGGTGTGAACATGACAGAAACATATATCACTTCAAATATTCTACATGTATCACTCTGCCACGTTGGGTACATTCTTCAAGTAGTGCAACGATTCTCACGATCCTTCTGAAAGACACCTCCGTGAAAAGAAATTCAGCAGTGCCTATGCAAAGTGTCCATTTCTAGTAGATTTTATATTATTGTTCACTTTCAAATTCGGTCATCAAAAACAAAACCCTAAAACCCTGATCTAAGCATCCGGTGGACCTAACGTTTTCCCGCCCACGCAGGCGTTGTGTCCTGAGTAGTTCACGTATGTAGTCTTACTTGTTTGTCTGCACAGCTTTGTTATTGGTTCACTAAATTGCTGTGATTTCTGTGTGGGTGCAACTTTTTAGGGAATTTAGGTGGGTTGGGAAGTTGCTTTCCTTACTTAAATTGAGTTTCTTTTTCTTCTACAACAGCTAATGGAGTGGTCTGCCCATCGTTGATGGTTGACATGAAAAGCTTCGTATTGGATCATAAATATATACTCGAGGCTTTCCTTAGATCCTACGGCCCACCTGAGGAATATGTTCAGGCTAAAATGGAAGTGAAGAAATGTGTGGATGAAATATCTCTAGTAGAGAAAATGGCCGTTATGAAAACATTGGTAATTCTCTTTTTTTCTTTTAATTCACAGATGTTTCTGTTGAGTTTCCAACCAGTAAATGAGGGACCTTGCATCTCTCTTGAGTGCCCCTGATGTGAAGCACATGCTTTGCTTCTCACATGTTGATAAATGGCCTGTGGTCATCTCAGTATTCATGCTCTGGTGGTGGTGGTGGTGGTGTTGTGTACCATCAAGTCAGAATCGGCCCATAGCTGACCCTCCAGTGGGTTTTCAGAGGCAGTTAATCACTTGGGAGGAGATTGCCCATCCGTTTCCCACAGTTCAGCTGGTGGTCTTGAACTACAGGCCTTTGGGTGACAGTGCAGCTCCTTGCCACTAGGCCACCAGAGCTCCCTCATACGCTAGGAAAACCTAGTTATCTAGGAAAGGTCCCTGCCTCTCAGATCACCTCCTTAGAAACTATGGAGAATATATGTGTGACCCAGTGTCGTGATATTGCAAGGCCAAAGTCTAGCTGCTCACATGCAAAAGAGTCTGTGAAAGGAAAGGAGTCCACACCCCACACCCCCACTGGGAATGCTTTCACCGACACACTCTCACAGGGACTGTTGGGAGCATTGAAAGGAGAAGATAGATGGGAGCAAGTAGACTTAAAGCCAGCTCTGCAGAGTTGGTGGGTGGCTTTCTAGATGCCTCTGCCACCTTCCACAGAGCCAAGAACCCTTGGTCACTGATACGCCACTTCTCCATTACTATTTTTAAAACATTTCCATCAAGTCCAGTAGACATAGCACCACCAGGTTGTATCTGCTACAGCAGCACATATGAACCCACAGCATGTAAAGCATGTCTTTAGAAATAACCTGGAATCTGTCAAGTGAACCCTGTGCCCAGCAGTTTGCAATGGCTTCTGCACTGACTGGTGGTGGGGTGAGTCCATCGAGCAGGTGCTCATGAGAACAGGCCTACAGATCTACTTACCTAAAAGACTGGAGTCAAGGAGAGTCGTAGGAGGCAGGGGAACGTGGAAGCCACTAACAACCACACCTACGTTCAGTTAGTGAGGAAGAGAGGTGAACGCTCTCAAGAGGCATATTTCTGTGCGGGGCCCGAATCCCTGTCTGAGGATGAGGACCATGTGTGAGCAGATCTTCCCAAAATCTCCTAACGATGGGTCCCCTAGTGAGATGCTAGTGAAGGGGGAATTGAGTTCCTCAGAAAATCTTTTCTGTTCTCCTACTCAGGACATCAGAAAATATTTTCTGAGCTATTCAAACCACATGTTTGAATTTGCTCAGGGTTTATTTGCCTGACTTGATGAGATGTTCTCTCTGACTTGGGATTGCATGTGGCCATTGATCAGGTGTACCCCTCAGGTTTCCACAATCACTGATGTCAGTTGCCTTATGCGGGCAGACATGTCCTCAGCATTTGATTATGAAAGACAGTCTGTGTTTACATTCACCTGCCCAGAGGAACGTGACCTACTCACCTGTTTTTTGTTCTTGGCTCTTTCAGGTAAAAGTCCTCGTAGCATGTGGGGTCTCAGACGTACACGAGTTTTTTAGTTGGCCTGTTTATAAGTGAGCATCTGATCTTCAGTGGAAAGTCAAGGTTTTAATGTCTTGCTTCAATAAACTAATTGCAACACAATGCTCCATTTGTCTTGTAATTATTATCCGACTCTCTCAGGTCATGAAGTCATCAGTTTGTGCTGGGTCCCAGAGGTCAGGGGAGACTGTAGAAGACTATTTCTCAGCCTCGTCAATCAGCTCCTCTCCTGACTCAGGGGTAGTGTCCACACAGATCTGCCCTCTCCTTTGCTGTCGTTGTTAGTTGCTGTCAAGTCCACTATGACTCCTAGAGACCCTGTGAAGAGCCAACCTGAACCCTGCCCTATCCTGTGCCATCCTCGGCATCTCGGAAACACTCGAATCCATTGCTGAAGTCACTGTGTTGATCCATCTCATTGGGAGTCTTTCTTTCCTCTGTCATCTGCCACCTTTCAAAGCATGAAGTCCCTCTCTGAGGAATAACCCCTCCTAGCAACATGCCCCAAATATGTGAGACAAAGCTTTATCATTTTGCATCCAAAAACAGCAGTAGCTGCACCTTCTCTAAAAGGTGTCTGTTCATTCTTTTGGCAGTCCATGGGATGTTCAGTACTTTTCTCCAACACCACACTTCAAAAACTTCAATTCATCTGTCATCCTTAGTAATTGCCCAGTTCTTAGATGCAAGACAACCACAAAGCTTTTATTTAGCAACTGATGCTCAAACTCTACTCATAATAGTTACTTCATGAGTTCTAGAAATAGAATAATGAGTTAGGAGTAACTGTTGTTCGAGAAAAAGATGTGTAACCTCCTCCTATGTGATAAACTGCCTCTGAAACCCCGCCAGAGTGTCATCTAAGGGGCGGATATGACTCGGTGGTACACAGCGAGTGAACAGCACGTTCCCATTGTATTACCTCCCATATTTATCAGAGGAGCTTTGGTGGTATAGTGGTGACATGTCAAACTACTAATCAAGAAACTGGCAACTCAAACACACTGGTCCTTCCAGAGGAGAAGGACAAGCAGTCTCCTCCCTAAAAGATTAACAGCTTCTCAAACACAATAGAAGGTTATGATATAGCTAGCTCTGGGGGCTTAGAGGTACAGAATTGGGTACAGAATTGTGCTGCTAACTCAAAGGTATGCAGTTCAAAGCCATCAACCCACTCTGTGGGAGAAAGATGAACAATTACCTATTACCTCCTGTATGATTTACTTTGTCTGGAAACCTGATGGAGGGTCACCTAGGAGTTGATTCTATTCCCTGAAATTTACCAACAATAACGACATGTACCTGTATAATTCAGGAAGAACCCATTTTCTCAAATTCCGTTCTTTATTTTGTTTTGTGATGGAAAAATACAATTTTCAAATTAATTTTAATGGAAGTTTACAGAGACTTTGGATTTCCATTTATTCATAGTTGCACTTTTCTCTCTGCCCTCCCCGCCCCCCTAATTTGCCCTTCTTTTTGAAAAATAAAAGAAAAATTCTTTGATTGGTATACAATCTCTCCCTCCAACTCCACTATGCTGCCTTCATTCTAAACTTCCATCATAACAATAATACATAATCATATATCTCTTTTAAACAGTTCTCTTTCTCATCTGTTTCAATGCAGTATGCATTATTTATCCCCTCTTTCTCAGTCTCCTCCAACCCCTATGCCAGTCCTCTTTCATAACAGTTGCATTATGCAGTATTTGTCTTTTTGTGACTGAGATATTTCACTCAGCATAATGTCCTCCAGGGTCACCCATTCTGAATAATATTGAATGAGTTCCTTGTTTTTCAATGCAACATAGTATTACATTGTGTGAATAGACCACAGCTTCTCTATCCATTTGTTTGTTGATGGGTACTTGAGTTGTTTCCAACTCTTTGCTATTGTGAACAAAGCCAAAATAAGCATAGGTGTGCTTTGGGGGCAGTTATGGTTTCTGTAGGGTATATTCCCCATAGTAAAATTGCTGAGACAATTAATATTTCTATTTGCAACTTTTTGAGAAAGCACAAAACAGCCTTCCGTGGTCCAGGGCTTTTTGTTGGCTGGAAGTTGTTTTATTACCTTTTAAATTTCTTCTCTTGTACTTGGTCTATTCAGGGGTGCAATTTCCGTTTGTGTCAGTTTAGGTAAGTTGTGAACTTCTAAGTATTTGTTCATTTCCTCTAGGTTTTCCTCTTGGTTTGAGTCTAGTATTTCACAATATTTCAATGTTAACCTTTTTATTTTAGTTGGTTCTATTGTGATGTTGCCTGCATCACCTCTTTTCAGATTACGTTTGTGTCTTTTCCTTCTTTTCTTAGTTCTGCTAGTGGTTTGTCAATTTTATCGACCTTTTCAAAGAAGCAACTCCTAATTTTGTTGATGGCTTCAATTATTTTTCTGCTTTCTATTTCATTTCTTTCTGCTCTAGTTTTTAGAATTTCAGTTTTGTAGAGGGTGTCAGGTTTTCTTGCTGTTCTTTTTCAATATGTTGGAGATGTTGGGTTAGAGAGCCAATGGTCATTTTCTTCCTCCCTTTCGATGTGTTTGCTTATTGCTATAAATGGACCTTTGATTACTGCTTTGGCTGTTTACCAGAGGTTTTAGTAAATGGTGTTTTCATTGTCATTTTTTTTTTCAAGAAACTTTTTAATTTCATTTTTTATTTCTTCTAGAACCCGCTCGTGTTCAAGCTAGGTGTTGTTCAGCTTCCAAATGTATGAGGTTTTTTTGTTTTATCCTTTATCCTCTGGTCATTAATTTATAATTTTATAGTATGTGGTCTGAAAAGATGCTTTGTATTATTTCCATGATTTTTAATTTATTAATCCTTGCCTTGTGACCTAAAAGGTGATCTATTCTGGAGAACGTCCCATGCACATTGGAGAAGAAAGCATACAGTGCTTTTGGGGGGTACATTAACTGATAAATATCTATTAGATCGAGTTGGTTTATTGTGTGGTTTAATTCTTCAGTATCTTGGTTGAGTTTCTTTCTGGTAGTTTTCTCTCTTTTTAAGAGTGGTATATTGAGGTCTTCAACTACTATAGTAGTGTTGTCTATTTTCTTTTTCAGTTTTGTTAATGGTTGTTTTATATATTTTGCAGGTCATTCATTTGGTGCATAGATATTTGTTATTTTTATGACATCTTGTTCTATTGGTCCTTTAAGCATTATGCAGTGACCATCTTTGTCCTATGTGATGGTTTTAGCATTGAAATATTTTTTATCAGAGATTGGTATCGCTACTCCTGCTTTTTGCTGGTTGCCATTTACTTGGCATATTTTTCCCCCCACCCATTTATTTTCAGCCTTTTTTTTCTCTTCATCTTTCAGGTGTGTCTCTTGTAGACAATATATTGATGGATTTCGTTTTTTATCCAATCTGCTACGCTTTTTCTCTTCAGCGGTACATTTAAACCATTCACATTCAGTGTGATTATTGAGAGGCAATATTTTATAGCTATTATTTTCTTGAGTTCTTTTTCGTGTTGTTGCTAGGTACTTTGGTTCATCCTGTTCTCTGTGGCACCTCTGTAAAAAGGACGTCTCTCGGTGTTTCCTGCAACGCTGGTCTTGTTTTTACAAACTCCCTTAGGTTCTCTCTTTCTGGGAAGATCTTGATCTCTCCTTCATATCTGATGGATAATTTTGCTGAGTACAGTATTCTTCTAAACACAGAAGTTCTCTGCTGATGTGCTGTTCCAGTCGTATTATAGCTAATGTTAGATGGGTCTTTGCTGAAAAAAGGGAATACCAGAGGAATGTATATCTGTGTTTCATTGATTATGCAAAGTTGTTCGACTGTGTGGACCATAACAAACTGTGGCTGACTCTGAGAAGAATGGGAATCCCAGAACACCTGATTGTACTAATGAGAAACCTATACTTGGACCAAGAGGCAGTAATCAGAACAAAGCAAGGGAACACTGCATGGTTCAAAATTGGGAAGGGTGTACACCAGGGATGTGTCCTGTCTCCATACCTTTTCAACCTGTATGCAGAACAGATTATCCGGAAGGCTGGGCTCGATGAGGAGAAGTGTGGTGTCAGGATTGGTGGAAGATTAATCAACAATGGGCATTACGCAGATGACACAACCCTGCTTGCGGAAACTGAGGAGGACCTGAAGCACTTGCTGTAGAGGGTCAAGGACTGCAGCACACAATATGGATTGAGGTTCAATGTCAAGAAGACAAAGATTCTTACCACTGGGCCAACTGGCAGCATCAGGATGGATGGTGAAGAGATTGAGATTGTTCACAGCTTTAGTTTGCTTGGCTCCACAGGCAACACTCTATGCAACAGTAGCCAGGACATTAAAAGACCTGCTGTGATGGGAAAGTCTGCTGTTAGGGGCCTCTCCAAAGTACTGAAGAACAATGGTGTCTCTTTGGAGACTAAGGTGCATCTGATATAGGCCATGGTCTTTGCTATCACTTGTTATGCATCAGAGAGTTGGACAGTGACTAAGGAGGATAGAAGGAGAATTGATGCCTTTGAGCTGTGGTGCTGGAGAAGAGTATTGAGGGTACCATGGACTGCAAGGAAAACAAACAGATTTACCCTGGAGAGGGTTAAACCGGGTAGCTCCCTGGAGGCCAAGATTCTGAGGCTCCGTGTAACATATTTTGGACATGTTGTAAGGAGGGACCGGTCCTTGGAGAGGTACATCAAGCTTTGTAGGGTGGAGGACAGCACAGAAGGGGAAGGCCCTTTATGAGGTGGATTGATTCAGGGACTGGGGTAATAGGGATGGACAGCACATAACAACAACAACAACAGTATTCTTGGTTGACAGTTGTGATCTTTGAGTGTTTGATATATGTCATTGCACTGTCTTCTTGCTCACATGGTTTCTGCTGAGAAATCAGCACTTAATTTTCTCTGCTTTCCCTTATAGGTTGCTCTTTGTTTCTCCCTCACTGCTTTAGATTTCTCTCCTTATCTTTGGTTCTGGCAAATTTCACTCTGATATGTCTTGGTGTTTTCCATTTGGGATCTATTCGATATGGTGTTCACTCAGTTTCATGAATATGTAT